GCAGGCTTGCACCTGGCACGGGCACCGTAGCCAGCCCGTGCCCCTTTAAGGGGTCCGGGGCCAGGAGGGGGGCATACGAGTTTCCCTGGTGTTGGCCAGAGTGGCCACCAGGGAAACCTGGGGAGGGCTAGCCTCCCACTAGTTCGAATTAAGGGGCTACACACCCCTTAATTCGAACTAGTAAGTTCGAACTAGGCTTAATCCTCGTAAAATGAGGTTTTCCTAGTTCGAACTAAGCGCTCCGCTAGTTCAATTTAAATTCAAACTAGCGGAGCGCTAGTGTAGCGCCTATGAACGTTAGTTCAAACTAACGTCCGTTAGTTCGAACTAACATTGTAGTGTAGACATACCCATAGGTATTATCAGCAAAAATATGTGCCACCTATTTTCTTGCTTCCATAAATGTCTGCTAACAGTTAAAAATGTAAGAACACAAGAATGGCCATACTGGCTGTTGGGATTTTGTGTTACCCAATAACCAAATGAGTCAGATGCCAGGCAGAGTCAAGGGTCTTCAATACTTCATTCAATTCAACAAGACTCTATTCAATGTGCACAAAGGGAGAGCCCCTGGTACAAAAATCAGCCAGAGACCCTCGAGCAAGGAGCCCCTCCCCTTGCTATTTTATAGCACATGGCAGTTACATAACAAGTTACATAACATAAACCTTTGGCCAATCATATTTAACATTTCCATATATGGATTTGTTTATCACATGCTTATACTTCTCCACTCCACATGTTGAGCTCACCGCCCTCCCTTGGCCTTTTTCCAGAATGTTCCAAGGATCATGAGCCACAGAATGCTTCTTTATGCATACACACATTCTAAATCACATTTTGTTTAAAATGAACACAAGCATACCCTTCAGCTCCCCCACTTGGTTTCGGGGCTAAGAACAATTCTTAGACCCCACTAACACCACTTCCTTGTATTTATTAGGAGCAATAATTGACCTTATCAACACTTAATTAACTGCTATTTTGGTAAAAGAATTAAAGAGTACATGCTGCATCTACACTGGCAAGTTTTTCCGCAAAAGCAACAGCTGTCTACACTGGCCACTTGATTTTGCACAAAAGCACTGATGTTCTACTGTCCGAAATCAGTGCTTCTTGCGCAAATGCTTTGACGTTTCCGTTCAGGCAAAAGCCCTTTTCCGGAAATGTTTTTGCACAAGAGGGCCAGTGTAGACAGCTAAAAATTGTTTTGCGCAAAAAAGCCCCGATGGTGAAAACGGTGATAGGGGCTTTCTTGTGCAAAACCACGTTGAGATTGGCATGGATGCGTTTCCGCAAAAAGTGCTTTTGCGGAAAAGCATCCGTGCCAATCTAGAAGCTCTTTTCCGCAAATGCTTTTAATGGAAAAACTTTTCCGTTAAAAGTATTTGCAGAAAATCATGCCAGTCTAGACATAGCCTAAACCTTTAATACATAATGATATCTACAATAAAAATAATAATAAGTCCCCATACTCATTGTGAGAACACAACCCAAATCCATCCCCATGGAATCTCTGTTCCCATAATAGCAAACCCTTCTATTCACTGAATCACTATTCACTATGGTAATTGCCTTACCATTTCTTTCATAATATCTTCCATTAGGCATAACACAATAGGAAGAACGAGATGTCTAAGCCAGGCTTGCCAGCCAAAGTTAATGACCCGAACCACACCAAGTAGTGGAGTTCTTCCTCACTGTTATAGCACCCATTAAATTAAGCATTACATACACCATTAAGTCAGGTCCCAACATTTGAGATAGGGCTTGTCCTGACTCCAGGTTTTCCATAAACAAAACCCATCCTCCCAGGTTGGAACATTGGTCTCATGGGAAAGCTATATAGTTATCTCTGGCCCTTATTACATACCCAGAATTCTAGATGCTACATAGGTGTCCGCGACATGAGAATGGGATTGGGTGGATGGGCTGAGCCACCAATTCAGGAGCCCAACCCATAGGAATTAACACCCTTCCAAAGATGGAATGACCATCCCAACATGCCCCTGTCATTGATAGGGAGCCTCTCCTGCTGTCATCCAAGGTGAAGACACTCAGTCTTTGAGAACTGCGGCTCTCACCCAACAGGGCACCTGTGACATGAGCAAGTCTCCTATCAGGGCTGCAACGTTCATGTTGAATATCATGCCAGTATGATAACACAATTCTTTCACATGCCTAGACCAATGCTTGCTCATACATTTTAGTAGTTTTTAATAGATGGCTGAGTACAACAGTGAGGACCTGACCAATTGTGTTGCTGAGGTAAGGTGATATCTAACTTGATTAGACATGAGCCCTACTCTCACCACAATAAACTGTCATCCCTGCTACTAACAAATTTTCAACCCAGTCCCTATTATTAGATTTGATAGCTTGAGTAATGGCATTTACAACTGATCCAGTGGCTCCTCCCCAGGTGATTACATCAATAAAACACTAAAAGCCACTGCAACATTATTAAGATGAGACCTCTGAGAGAACTCTCAAGTCTCAGAAACCGCTCAAAACAATTAGCGGACTACACAAAATTTCCTACATCAATTTTAAGCTGGGAATATCGAACGAAGACACTTAACAATATTGGGAATGGCTTTCCAGGAGTCCATAGGGCAAATAGGGATTATTGTGTCCCATGCTGAGTCTCACCCTTGTATACTTTTTCTCATGAGAAGTGCACCCAAATTGGAATTCCAGTGACCCGGGCCACTGAAGGAGTTACCAAGAGTACCGTCTGAGGTCCAGTCCAGGCTGGTTCAAAGGTTCATTTTCTATAGGCTTTCACCAGCACCTGATCACCAGGCTGTACCTCACATGTGTCCTCTTTGCTGGACTTTGGGTCTGGTTCAGTTCGGGGGTCCTGTGACACACATTGAGACAACAATTTGCAATATTCAGCAAACTGGTTACCCATGACGTACAATTCCCCTTCTCTCCCCAATGCACAGATTTCCTGGCATCCTCATTGCCCTCCCTGTCACCATTTCAAAAGGAGATAAGGAATGTGGGTTAGTAGGACTGGCTCTCATAGACATGAGAACCGCTGGTCGATTGGTGACCCAGTCTTTCCCTGTAACAGAAAACATCTGTTTGGTTAGTTTGTTTTTAATGGTTTGGTTAGCTCTTTCTACTAATCCTGAACTCTGGGGATGGTAGGGACAGTGGAATTTCTGTTTGATCCCCAGTGCCATGCATACAGTTTTCATCACCTTCCCTGTAAAGTGGGTATCTTGGTCTCTATCAACGAAGCATGGAAGTCCCCATCGGGGAATTATTTCGGTCATAAGTATTTTAGCTACATCAGGCGCAGTGGCCTTGACCACTAGGAAAGCTTCTACCCACTTAGTAAAGTGATCCACAATCACCAGAACATATTATTCCCTCTGCACCTTGGCAGGGACCCAGTGAAATCCATTTGTAACTATGTGAAGGGTTGCATTGGTCTTAGCTGATGTCGCATGCTCACTTTCACTGTGGGAGCAGAATTACATTGAGCACATTACACACCTCCTCACATAATCATGCACATTCACATAAAGTTTGGGATGCCACCAGATGTCCAACATCCAGTGGATCACCCTCTGTGCTCCATCATGTCCCAACATGTGATAAACACTAAAACTCCAATAGTCCGGCATCCAATTGTATGACACTCCTGATAGTCCGGCATCAAAATGGCAAGAGCCTAGTGAGTGAGCTTTGGCAAAAAAAGAGTCTCAAGACAGGAGCGGCAGCAGCTTAACTGAGCGAAACTGGATGGGACTGAGTCAGTCTGCCACTGGCATTCAGTGACGCTGGACAGTGCTTGTGCTACAATAAAAAGGGGTAAAACACTTTATATACTGTATATATATGTAACCCTTCTGCCGGGTAGGCCTGGCAGTAACCAGGGCTGGGTTCAATATCTTGGGGTCAATCTCACAAAGAACCAGCTCGAGCTCCCACCCAGTGATCTGGGAAATTCACGCACCCCTGGGCGCCTCTGAGAGGCAATGCTTCCCCACTCGCAAGCACTGAGTCTGAGTGTAGGAAAAGAACATTTAATGAAACAGAAAGAGAATTCATACGGCATTAGCTTGGGGAAAACACCACAAACAGAGTTCATAACCCAAACATGAGCCAAGCCCCCACCCCAGCCAAGAATCGCCCAAAGTCCACAGAATCCGACTCCCCAAAAGTCTCTGTCCCCACAAGTCTCTGTGCCACCCTGAGTCCCAAAGTTCACCCGCAGGGTTTCACCTCCCAACGTAGAAATGGGGGTGGGGGGAAAGATAGGGGGCACCTTATACGAAACTCCGCCACGCTTCACCAGCTGTCTCGTCCCACACCTCTGGACACTCCGCTGGGCACCTGTCGCCGCTTCTCGCCTGCTGCCGCTCCACGCCACGCCACTGGTCGCCGCTCCTCGCCTGCCGCCGCTCCATGCCACGCCGCTAATGGCCGCTCCTCCCCTGCCCACCCCC